TCTTTTAAACTTTAAAATACACCATGCAAATAAAAACGGTTTATTGATTTAATTGAAAAAGAAGACCGGATTTATTATATTCAATACCTGTGTGGTTGCTTAATAATAAAATGGCTGCATGTTTATTCGATAGCATTTTTCATACATAATCAATTTTACTGATACCCACTCTGTTGCTCTAACTGATATTGTACGTTTTTCATATCAACTTATCAAACTATCCCTTGATTTTCCTGCGATTATGCCATTGCTCTATTGAGTTAAATCTGACAGATCAAACGTTAAAAGGATTATATAATGCATTAAACATTCATAAATAGAAGCTCTTCGGAGAACAATTATCTCAGACGAATGCCAGTTTTGAATAATCGCATCTTTTATTGGAAATGTAACAGTAAGCCCACCTTTATTAATTGATTGTGTACCTGGAATGAAACAAATGCATTACCGATTAAATAATCAAATGAAAACAACGCTTCTTTACCATAAAGTGAAAATGTGTCCATTTTCTGTTCATGTTATTATGTGTAATAGTTATAATCGTTACAAAGATAGCAATACCAATTATAGTTCGGCCAGTTCATTTCTACAAATAAAGTGACATTTTATAAAATGTGTTGTGTAATACATTTTCCTCAAACAGTGTTTTTCGAAAGAAAAAACTTGTTATGTCAATAGTACATTGTAGACGTATCACTAATTGTATTTTTCCTAAAATAAAATTAGAAAAGATCTGCAACAAATCCGTACAAATCCAAACCATAAATATTAGCATGTTACATCTGTAAAAGAGCCACCTTCATAATGGAACCCTGATGTTTCACAAACTGCGAAACAATATGTCCCATGCAATGAGGTTGTCTTCTAATTTCTATAAACATGTAACAATTTGAAGACTTCAGAATTTTATATCCCGTGCAGTGTCTCAAACTTTGTTTATGCCTGTATTTCTTTTGCAAGTAAGCATATTGCTTGATGTTTGTTTTAACATATCGGAATTGAGTATGTTTACGTATATAGATTTGAGGAAAGGTGCAGTCAGTGAGTACATGAAGGAAGGTGGTTATTGAGGCCTTGGAAACAGAAGAATGTTTTCATACTGATCACACAGTGCACATGTTGGTGTTATTTTGTTGGTTTTTTATTATTTTTTTAAGAAAAATGTCGGTATGACTGTATCGAATATCTTTATTATAATTTAACTTTTTTGTTTTATAATGCCTTTAGAGATAATTTCATTATATATACATTTTTATGACATGATCATCACATATTTTATTTAAGAGTACATTAGTACTTATGTGCACTGTTATTGTAAGATGAAATGTATAATTTACAAGATAAAGCTCCAGTGCCTCGTTTTCAAATTCGTCTTTTCAAGAAAAGTATTTAAAGTTATTTAAAATGCATTACAGTTTTGTGACTAAAAATTTGAATAATATAGCAATATTTTATAACTTGCTCGGTCTTATTCATTCTTTAACTACTTAGTAATTTATGGCGGAATGAGACAAGCTGGCATTGATATCAAGCATGACAGAACCCTTTAAATGTATCATGCATTTGAAACAAATGAACATTTTTATCGTATTACAAAATGTCTAACTGACATGTGTTATTGTGTCATATCTATAATTATCAATGTTTGAGAAGAATGTTTGAAAGCTTGCATAAATATGTAACCTCTAATCGCTCGTTTGAGAATACATACTAATGTATTTATGCATGCAGCCATTTGTTCCGCAGTCTGTAATGAATAAATGATTTTTTGTAAAGAATTCATTTTGAATTAAATCGAAATTTGCCTACCAGTTGAGCAGGTAATGTTCAAATGTTAAAACCTATTTCGGTATTTAGATTTCTGCAGACATCTTGTCGCAGACCGGAGTTTACAATTTGTTGTAAAAGACCACCAAACAACTATTCTAGAAAAACTTCATCTAAGCAAGGATGAGGAGATGCAATTTAAAGATTATTTTATTTACTTCTAAACAATTTTACACATGTTTGTAAAACTTCACATAATGATCAGTCATTTTAATATTTCACAAAAATCTACAAAATGATGAAGGGAAGATGACGTTTAAACGATTTTCTGTTTTATCAAATGACCCCGGATATTATTTTTTTTACTTTCCAGTCATAACATTGATTATTACATGATCTCATATATCGAGAAAATGATGACCCTCGCAGAGTTTTATTACTCCCATAAAATGATATCCCTATTATTATTTTGACCCCTCAACGAGAAGGTCATAACAATAAAAGGTGTAACGATTGGCCAAAATCAATTACCGGAATCCATGTGAAATTTGAAAAGAACTCCTTTGCTAACAAGTGTGACTGAACAATATAAAAGACTATTTACTATGCCACATGTTTTCGTTACTTACGAATCACATACTCCAAACAATTGAAATTAACATTTGAAATACAGTTACAAACGACGCATTTACTGACATAATTCACGTATAATTACTATATTTATTAAAGGAACAGCATGCGCACTAAAATTCTTTGTCCAAAATGTAGCAGTGCAAGTTCAAATGAAAATGAGACTGAATTGTTTTTCCCCAATTATGCAAATCTTTTTGCCAGGACATGCAGTATTAGCAGTATTATTTTGAGCAATTAAGAAGAATTGAATTATTTACTTTAGACGCAACAATCGTACTCTGTTACTGAGCAGGTGTAAATGAATTGCTATTTGTCAGCTACCCCACTCTATATAAAAGTTAATTAAATAAACGAATATGTTTGGCCAATACTAAAAAAGAAAGATCTTATATTTGAGTATTTTGTTTTATTTTTTCAGTGAATATTATTTACATCATAAACTTATTAATCATGTATATTGTATATTTGTTTTGTGTATGTCATATTTCAAGTGATTAAAATGTGTTTGGTATGTATTGCCAAAGGCAAACGTTTTTTTTTACTTGCCGAAAAAAGCAATAAAGGTTGAATTGAATTGAATCATAATTTGACAAAATAACTAAGAAAAGTACAAAATATTGATATTGTTGTTTCACTATATTTGAATATGTGAAGATGATTGACATATGAGAATTGTGAACTAACAATGTATGTTTATAAATGTGTACACAGACGTCATTGAGTAATATAAGTACAGCAAAACATTGCGATATATTGAAGTAAAGTTCACAATCATTAGTGAAATAAAATTAGTAAGATTTAGTCTTAGATTTTGTTTCATGTCATGTACAGGTGGCGCGGTGGCCTGGTGGTAAATGTGTCTGCCTCTCAACCACAGGATCATGGGTTCGAGCCCTACTCGGGTCACCACCATGTTTCCTCATGACACAAATACTGGTTAATTTCAAAAAGAGGAATCAATGTCAACAGTTGCAAGAACTTGTTACGTAAGCAAGTTTAAACTTATACCATGTTCTCTATTTAACGCTACAGTTATTTGCATGAAAGGACATGCTAAAATATACACTTACAAAAAAGCGCTTAAAATACTATAATGTAATGTTAATGAATCATTGAAAACCTGAATCAACCATGCCAGATCGTTTGCATGAACATTATTATCATACACTTTATCAATATGATTTGCTGGCTTTAAGTTGTGTTTGTGTAGTTTATGCATATCTAAGACTGCATTTCACAATAATGACACAAGGCTCGGAGAAAATTGCATTTTTTATAGAATTGATTTTTCAAGAGTTAGCCTAATAAATTAATGTTTTCTAAACATTAGTGTAATAACGGTCCATTTTTTTCTAAGGTTTTGCTATCAAATGTTAAGCTTCTAATGGAGATCATTCCGAAAATGACAAATTTGAAGAAAAAAAACAACAATTTTCTTGTTGTTGTCATTATTTTTGTTTGTTTGATGCGTGTGTGTTTTTGTTTTTCTTTTTGTTGTTCTTTTGTCCAATGAGTGGATTTGATACTGCGTTTGAAACCACTACACTTTCCTTTTTCTTAATATATCTTCATTTAAGACTTAATAATATTTCATTTGTCATATTATGATATGATAGCATTATATTAGCTTTCTCGCAAACATCTAAAATGCAAATATCTAGTTACAAAAATAGATGAATATTTCCGAAACTTGTAATCCTTTTTAAAGAAGCCAAATTAAAGAAGAGAAATTTAAACAAGAATTTCCTTTAACTTTACATGACTAAGTAAAACATGATTGAAACAAATTATTGAACAAATTTTAGTTATCTTCTCCTGTTGTTTTTTAATGGAAGATAGCAGACAAGTTGTATATATTATAATTCAACTACGAATCTATAAATATTTGGAACTATACATATTAGTTTTGAAGTTAATATATATTTTATATTAATATATTCAGGACTCAACACAAGGAAAAGAACTGCCAAAGTTTGGAGGTAATTGGACTGAACAAGTTCACTACACATGTTTATGTATAATCTATATAACGGACACATGCATACATAAACTTAACACATATGCATACGCACAAACAATTCACCATGTTGCATGCTTCAAAAATACTGTATACATTAAAATTTATTACAACATCGGGCGTACAGTTGTTTAGTTCTTTATGTTGCAAACTGCAATAAGAGGAAAAGATCATGATAAAAGGACAATACTGTCATCGTGTTCTTTTTGCCAAGTGGCATTTTTAAAGCTTCAAACACACGTTTAATGAACATCAAATATTTTTTACATGTGCAAATCTTTATAACTATAAAGATTTTTACTTTTAATTCAAGACAATTTTTCTCTCAAATGCGCCATTTTAAGATGATGTCTTCACTTTTCATGCGATGTCATTGACATATACACCTCGTAGCATACACTTAATTTGGTCAAACCTTATCTAAGTTTGCTCTGGCACCTTTCTGAAATTATCTAAAAGATATATGGTCTAATGAAGTGTGAAATACGTTAGGACTAAATCAAACTGATCAATAGTCTTCTTATTAACTTGAAAGCTTCCAAAATACTTCAACGCTGTTTCTATAAAGTTTTTGGTAATAACAATTTTCATATTGAAGGTACAATATAATACAAAGTACAAGTATAATAAATTATCTATTACTCAAACCAGAAATAGCAACGGTTTCGCAAAAATGGCTGCAAAGAACAGTAATAAGTTTGATACAGATATAAGAGATAGGACCATGTCGTTATATTCCCTTATCTTATATAATTAAATAGCTCACAAGTCAATAATACATCAAATCAGCTATTAATACTTCATCCACATATTTCAAATTAAAACAATGTTGTTGTTTCAGTTCCCATAAATCATTGATTGTACAACTTTTTTTACACCATCCTCCATGTCGTCTGAAAGTGCTGTAAACACATTTTCTGTTAAATTTCGTTGTGCTTTATCTCGTGAAATAATGAGTTCGCCAAAAAGATACACTCCCATCGCCTGTAAAACATCAACTTACAAAGATGACACAATGCGAAATAAATATCTTGAATTAAGTTTTTGAATATCAAAACTAATATCCTTTTTAAGAGACAAGAGGCAAGCCACCATTTTTTCAGATTAATAGCACTGCTTGTATCTTCATCTATTCTACCGATGCGAAAAATGCAGGCCAATATCAACTGGCCCGTCTGAAAGTATGTGATACTAAGCGTGGTAATAGTTAAAGCAATGTAATGGTTACTAATTGAAGTATTTTGTATGTACAATTGTAATAACAAACTATACAATCTACTATACATGCATATACAGATTGTCCATTTATTAATTACTATCGTTTTGTTTTGGTAATTGTATGAATGTGTACACTTCTTTAAGAACTTAAATAAAGTGAATTTTGACGATTTTAATTGTATTCATTTAAATCCTATAGAAGAAATAAGATTTATCTGAACAAACATATAGAACCAAGGAGTGACAAATGTTCTCTTTTCAAAGACTCCATATTATTACATAGCAATAAACAGAGTCAATAATAAATGTGATATTGCTGTTGTTTAATAAAAAAATAGGATCAATAGAAAATTATTTACAAACCTGATGATGAACAAGGAAATGCCTAATATCCTCGAAATATTCCTGTAAATTATGTCTGATAACTAGTTCACACCATTTATGACTCACCTGAAAGGAAGACGTATTTTGTCAAAACATGTTTACTGTCAAAGTAAGATATATCATTAACACTTATTTTAAATCAATACTAGTTTTGAACAAACAAAGCTGAAAAAGGTGAAATGAGCGACGAAGAGTGAAAAAAAAACGAAAAAAAAAAAAAATTCCGTTAAAGAGTCTGTCTCTTCAATTTTTATTCACATATATGACCTTCCCTCATCATATGTCTTTTCAAATGACTGACTCCATCATATTATATGACTAAAATGAGACCAAAATAGACTACAAGAATGAGTGCAAAAGTTGGGTCTTTAACAAGGAAACATATCACACAATATCTCTAAAACTGGTAGACAAAACACACTTTGCACAAAATGCCCCTTTCTCTGGTGCATACAACTTTCTATCTTTGTGTGGAATTATGATTCTTGTACACCTCACCACAAAAATAGAACTGTAAACAAAGAAAGTCAAACCCTTAGTTTTTTTTAAAACGTAGCATCCTTCAGTCAAACCTGGAACTAAAGCAATTAAGTCCACACACTTTGACCTCTCTTTGTGGCCTTGATATTCGAACCAGGGACCTGGATTATGTGCGTAAATAAGCCTCACAATGGTGAAAATTTGTGCCAAGTATCATAAATATCCCCCAATGAAAATAGAAGTTCGGCTCCTAACAAGCATTTTTCAATGGCCTCTTAGTTTGACCTTAACCTTTAACCTAGAGACCTGGTTCACATGCACGTGACATTCTTTCCCATAGTGGTGAACATTTCTATGAAGTTCATTAGAATCCAACCATGCTTGGAGGACATATGCTTTGGCCAAACAATTTCTATATCTTATTGCCTTTAGTAACCTTGACCTTGCATATATTTACCAAAACCAGTAGTTATGATAATGTCCATTTGTGTTTTAATCCCTCAATATATAAATAACTAAATGGTCCGAATACACAGTATTATAATTCTATCTGACCCCTATGTGTGACCTTGACCTTGGCCACAGGGACCTAAATTTTGCTCTCACAATATTTAACATTCGTTCTAAATTATATTAAAATAGCCATATGTGTAGGAGATAATTATGCTCTGGACAAAATCTTTATATTTAATCTTGAGTGACATTGTCTATCATCTTTAGTGACCTTGACCTTGCATATATGAACCTAAATTACATGTTTCACACCAGTAGTCATGATAATGACCATTTGTGTTTCAATCCCTCAATTAATGATGACTAAATGGTCGGAATACATATTTTCATATTTTTTAATCTAAGCACTGACCCCTATGTGTGAGCTTGACCTTGGCCACAAGGACCTATATTTTGAACACAACACTCCGCCTCACAATGGTGAACACTTGTGCCAAGTTAGCAGTTTTGCTCCTAAAAAGAGTTTTTCAATAACCTCTAAGTGTGACATTGAACTTTTACCTAGAGACCTAGTTCCTGCATGGCACTGCTTCTCATAGTGTGGTGAACATTTGTATGAAGTTTCATTAAAATTCCTCCATGCATATAGGAGATATGCTCAGGACAAAATTGGACACCGCCAGCATTGTTCTGATATTTTCCAGATATCAACTTCAATAAGCTTAGAACTGATAGAATCCTATACTTACATCTGCATTTGTAGAGGAGAGCATCAATTTCTTGTTTAGGTGCTGAAGAATATCATGATGAATTTTTTCACTTTCCAGTAATCTGTCCAATAATAAGAGAACTTGAACTTGCCTTAACTGAAAAAAAGTTTTCATCTTTATTCCAAAAACATTAATTTTATCAAAATATATATATATATAGTTTATTTACTTTAAAGGTACAGGTTAAGTGGTGAGGCTGTAACAATTTATTCTGTCCACAACTTTTTTATTTCTCAAGGGAATGCAACTTTCACACATGTGCCTGCTGCATGTCAGGGTTTCGCATTTTGATCATTCTGACAGAATTATTGCCCTTTTAATTTCTTCACATATGTAATATTTAGAGATATATTATCCTGTGCACAACTCCTACATTTCTCAAGGGATTTAAACTCATCTATGTGCAACTATTCTCACATTCATTTCTCAAGGAAATTCAACCAAATTTTTACTGAACTATTACCACCATGTGCTCTGCATCATATATTCCTAATTTTGTGATTTGAACATTTTTAACAAAATTTTTGCTCTTTTAGTTCTTTTCACATATGTAATACAGATATAGAGAAATAGTCCTCTGTGTGTACAAAACCCTACTTTTTATGTCAAATGTACTTTAAATTATATGTATATCATATGTATGGCGCAACTGTAAACATCTGAAGTCACTGTAAAGGTTATGTGTAGATTTCCAAATGAAAATAATTATATCTACCTTTCTTATGTGTAGTTTCGATTCAATATCTAATTTCCGTCTTTTCCTCCAGTGCAATTTAGTCCAGATTTTGTGACAGTCCAGTATCTTTTTTTCCTATCAAAGAAATGAAGCAAAATAGAAAAAACTGTTATTACTTAATAAGTTTATTCATAGATCAATATTTATGAAACCATTGCAAAATACAGAAGCCTTGCATACACAATATACAAACCTCATACATACTAAAGGTGTGTGTTTATATGCATCAGGATAAGATAGACTTATAAAATAATTGCATGTACATATAAATATTAATTAAAAGAAGTCCACTGTGGTCCAAAGGCTAAAACAGCTGGGACACTTAAAACTGAAATGATCAAAAGGAACATTCATCTTGAAAAAGTATTTCAAAAATCTCAGTGGAGTCCCTTTAAACTTGAATGCATGGTTTATTATGCACCAAATTCATTTAAGCATGTAACATTTAGAAAGAGGTAATAATCTTTTTAATAATGATTTGGTTTGCATCAAAGTCTTATTGTATTTGTTTATTATATATGTAAGCAAAATATTACTGAAATAACTTCTATTTAACCTGAACTTGCTGAATTAGTGTAATGGATTTGTCCAACAGTTCATTCTATGTTTAAGGGATGTCAATATCAAATTACAACTAGATCTGTTATAGTGTATATATATATGCCCTGAAAGTCATACCAAGGACAAGAACTTTTTTCTTTCAAGTTAAGTATGACATTGATCTTAGGGCTACAAGCCTTGGTGCTGCATGAGACAAATCAGTTCATTTGCCAGATATTTATTGTTAATTATTTCAAACCATCCAAGAATAACAGAGTCATGGCTCAGAATAACCACCTATTCACACTCATAGTATGGCTTTGGATGTTTAAGTGCGATTTTGACCTTTAAACTGGAGACCAAATTTTTTAGCATGACTCACTGACATCATGTTTAGCAAAATAATGTCCAGTTATTTCAAAATTCATCCATAAATGACAGAATTTTTTGAAGGCATGAGATCATAAACACATTTTTACAAATATCAATATCACAACTTTGGACATCAAAGTGTGCCTTAACTTTTGAGCTGATGGCTTGACTCTTGCTTACAACACATGGTCATGATGTCCAACACATTACTGCCAAGTTATTTTAAAATTCATTAACGAATGAGAGATTTGTTCATTGGCCATGGTCTATTGATAATTGCACTTTTATGAAAAATGCATACGTTTTGGAGTGGAAAAGTATAACTTTGACATTTGAGATGGAGACCTGATTGTTGCATACTGCAATATATTATCATGCCCAACCAATTTATGCCATATAATTTCAAATCCATCAATGAATGACAAATATGTTGATTGGACATGACTATTAATGCAATGCATTTTTATGGAAACATCCTTCCAAGTGTGACCTTGACCTTTGACCTACAAACATGGGCCTTGCATGTTAAACAGTGCCTCCTGCCATACCAACATTTGGGGTTTACTGGTATTTCTGTATCGTTGTGGCATTTCTCAATATAAATAAGTAAAAGTTTCTACTTTAACTGATGATTTATGTTGTTTCCTTCTTTTGTAACAATATAATGGATGAAATGAAAGTAATAGACCAATGGATGTTGGCCTGGATAGACGGACAATTCAAAATATTTTTATGACCCTTGAAGGGCATAAAAATTGAGCTACAAACTGTATTAAGCCTTGCAAGACTGCACAGATATGCAATTGTTGCCTAACTTTTACTAGCTTATGGCTTATAATACCAGCAGGTTAAAAGTTTATCAATGTCTTTGCTTTTATTACCTACCAATTCAATAACTTCTTCATTCATTTTATTGCTCCCTTGATCACAACAAACTGAAATCTGAAAATAACAAATTAGCATAAATAAATCAACAGCAAATTTAAAGAATATAAAACATGTTTATATTATATAATAATTTATAGAAATTTAGATTATTTTTTCTTTTTCTAAAGGAATTTAACATTAACATTCCTGTCTAGAAAACCCTGGATGGATTTTGGATGTGTCTTTTATGTAATCTTATACAAATTAAGAGAAAATCAAAGAGATAATTTTGAATAAAATGTATTAGTATTAATGTGCTAAAAAAATTTGAATTTCAGTAAAAGGCAGGCTTTTAATTACTCAATGAACTTCTTCAAAAAAGAATGAACTTTCCTCAGAAATGAATAAATTTTTACTTCTATACATAGGGCAAACATGTGCTTCTATAAAGTTTTAACTATGGATTTTGAACATGTCAGATGTTTTTTGACTATACATGATCATCAATGCACTTTTTTTGATAATTTCTATTCCATTCTTAGTGTGACCTTGACTTATGACGTAAATCCAGATTCTTTTATTTGACACATCTCAATGAATGTACAGTACTGCATCATAAAGGTATCAAAATGTTATGAAAATAGTATTATGACCTTAATACAAAATACAGAGTCATTATAACCGTACCAATTTTATGTATATGTACCTGGCCTTACAACTAGCATGATTATTTTATTCCTTTAACAATCTGTCTCCATTCAATTTTACAAAAACGTCTCATGCACAAAATAAAAAATAGCTTTTTTCAACTTTTTTCTTTACTCTTTTTTTAACTTCTTCAAATCTTATGTAAAACATTATCAATAAATGATAATCTCTTTTCTATGAATTGTACTATATTTTTTTTTATGTTTTAGCGTATCAGCAGTGACTATTATGGAACCTGCAAAATAATTTTGTCTCATAAAACCATGTTATACAAAATACATGCATACATTCTTCAAAAAAAAATTAACCCACATGTAAAATCATTTGAGTATACATACTTTAGGAAGTCCAGGACAGTTCAACCAGTCACAAAATATTGTCTTCTCTGATAATGATACTGACCTATAATTAGAGTAGTACAAACACAAACTGTTACAAAATGAACATGAATACATGTTTAAGAGTGAAAATCATATAGAAAATTTTCATATTAAATGTTTCTTTACCTATGAATACAAGCAAAAACAACAACAAGTTTTCTCTTAATAATTGGCTGATGTCCATTTAAAAAATGCTGACAATATTGCTTGGCAGTTAAGCTGCATGCCTCCAGAGGAGTCAAACTATTTCAAGAAAATCAGACTTGAGAAAACTGTACTAAGATTTTAAGATTCAAGTTATATGTTTCATGTTATATGTGATTAAAGATTGATTTTGCAGTACTTATCACAACATTTCTACTGCACGGCAAACATATGAGCCGCGTCATGACAAAACCAACATAATGGGTTTGCGACCAGCATGGATCCAGACCAGCCTGCGCATCCGCGCAGTCTGATCAGGATCCATGCTGTTCGCTTACAGACCCTATAACAAGAAGAGAAACTGATAGTGAACAGCATGGATCCTGATCAGACTGCGCAGATGCGCAGGCTGGTCTGGATCCATGCTGGTCGCAAACGCATTACGTTGGTTTTGTCATAACGCGGCTCATATAGTACTGGTTAATTTTGCGTATTTTGACATATTTTTTGAAAATTTACATGGATTGTTGTGTGCACTGTGTAAATAACTCTTTTTGTTCACACCACAATATTTTACTTTTAAAACATTTTCAAAATTTTCATGAAATAGAGCATGAATCTGAAAATAGTTAAAATATGTATTTTATATTGGTCAGACTTGTGTTAACCTTTACATTTTGTTAAGTTTACCTTTCATTAGGAAACATCGTAAAGAAAAGCTGAATGACATCCTGGAAAAATAAAAAAGTATAAAACAATAATTGTCTCTAACAATGATTATAAACTAAAGATGTAGAAATGCAAGAATGTTTGAATGAGAAGGCCAAAATACCTTACCATTAATATTGATGTGTGTTTTGTCTTTTGATAAAAAAAAAGAAAAGAAAGTACAGTAGATAGGCATAATACTTCAAAATAATTTTACAGTAATAAATATTGAATGGGAAGATTTGCCATTGTTCATTTCATGACAGACTAAATGATAAATCTGTTCACTCACCATTGAATCTATCAGACTGTGCATAAATCGTTTAACAAATTCCTTCAGGAAAACTTTGAAGTTCTGGAGACCAACTGTATCTTCAAGGTGCCGCAGCAAAAAGTATCCCTTAGTAAAATAACAAAGTCTGAATTCAATATATAAATCTAACAAAAAGTACCAGTATTTATAATTCTAAGACACAATGACAACTTTCATTGTCATAAAGGCTATGTTCAAATTTAACAGAAAATGACCCAAAATACCTCATCTTTCAAATGCAGGTAGTTATCAACCTAAATAGCAACAGCTACACCTTAACCTCTAAAACTTTTAGCAAAATTGAATATAAAAGATATTAACATCCCTGACATTTACAAAGGTAATCAAAGGCACTTATAGGATACCTAGTGCACAACAATAGCAATGAAATGTGAAAATAACACAAGACTTGTGCAATGGTAATGCTGAATGTGTGCAAAATATGGCTGAATGTGTGCAAAATATGGCTGAATTTGTGCAGAAAATATGGCTGAATCTGTGCAAAATATGGCTGATCTGTGTAAAATATGGCTGAATATGTGCAAAATATGGCTGAATGTGTGCAAAGTATGGCTGAATCTGTGCAAAATACAGCTGAATCTGTGCAAAATACAGCTGAATCTGTGCAAATCATGGTTGAATATGTGCAAAATATGGCTGAATATGTGCAATATATGGCCCAATCTGTGCAACAAATGGCTGAATCTGTGCAAAATACGGCTAAATCTGTTCAAAATATGATTGAATATGTGCAAAATATGGCTGAATATGTGTAAAATATGAGTGAATCTGTGCAAAATATGGCAGAATCTGTGCAATATATGGCAGAATCTGTGCAAAATATGGCTGAAATGAGGAACATGGTAAGAAAAGGACAAAAATATGTTGAATTGAAAGATTATTACATTATCCCAGATTGGCTGCTAAAATGGTACTTTTCTGTTGTGCAATTCCTGTGTTGTTTTCATAATTTCCTGCCTTACCCGAGATACCAGTAATTTATACACAATGGGATATACCAGTAACATATAAAATTTATTGTATATAACACATATTAGTTAAGAACTTGATAATATCTAACTTGAAATATAACTTGTACACTCAATAGCCTTAAAACAATAAAACAAGAAAAAATTTGTGTGACATAAATGTATTGATTTCATGTATGAATCATACCACATATTAGAAACATACAAAGTGCTTAGGCAACACTTCTAGTCTATAATGGAATGCAAAATTAGTGTATAGCAAAGGTCATGGTGTTTACTATAAGAACATTTTTACAGATATAACCTTTTATCTAATCAGTACAAATAAGTACCGTAATGTTTATTTATATTGAGAAGTTGCAATTTAAAATAAACAAGAGCTCCATTTAGGAGATGGCATATTTAAAAGGAAGTACCAGACAAAAATATGCTTTCAGAAAAAAAAAAGAATTTTTTGTTGAAAATAACACAAATCATTACTTTTTCTATTCATGTGTAAGGAAACAATGTACACAATAATTATTTTAGAGTAAAAAGCATATTAGCAATAGAACATTTTACAAAATTTAAAAGGGGCCCAAAAATTTTTCAAAAATAAAATTTATTTCCCGAGAAATCAAAATTGGGCCCATGTTTGAAAATAATATACAGCATACCAAATACAAGCTGAATCAGTTTAAAGGCCTTTTAAAAAGTTTTTTGCAGAAACCAATAATTTCAAGCAAAAATTTTCTTTAAAAGGGGGTTAACTTTTTTTCAATAATTGCCCGATTGCAACAAACTCAAAAATTAAAATTTATTTTAAAAAAAACTAAAGGGAGAGAACCCTTTTACAAAAAAACAAAAAAAGGGCACCATTTTTTTATTTAACAGAGAAATAATATTAAAAATCATGATCCATGCTACTTTCTAAAATGATTTTAGTCAGCCATAGAATTTTCAAAAGGTTTTCCCTTTAAAAAAATCACATATTTTCTGAAGGGAGATTTTAGAAATTTATGCTCCTGCAATTTTTCAAAGCTTCTTTTTTGAAGTCAAAAAATAAAATGTTCGTAATATCATGACCTTTTGTGGGTAAGCTATAAATAATATATGAACATTACAAATACTACATATTTTTCTTTTAATTTGTATATCAGTACTAAGCTAAGTTACTTTATATTTTTTACCAAAAACTGACAAAAGCACTCCTAAAAATCCAATCTTCACTGATTTGACATTCACTATAGAGTACAAAATGATCATATGAACCGCATCATGACAAAATCAACATAGTGCATTTGCAACCAGCATGGATCCAGACCAGCCTCTGATCAGGATCCATGCTGTTCCCTTTCAGTTTCTCTACTTGTAATAGGGTGTGTAGGCGAACAGCATGGATCCTGATCAGACTGCACGGATGCGCAGGCTGGTCATGATCCATGCTGGTCGCAAACGCACTATGTTGGTTTTGTCATGACGCAGCTCAATTATATCTTATCACAGCTAGCTTGTATAAGAGCAAGAGAAACATTTTAAATAATGAGTAGTTTACTGAATAAAAATACATGTGCAAAGTACATAATTATACATTAACATGAATATGAATGACAATTTGCAAATTAAAGTGAAAGTAAAAAAGTGCCTAAAATAATAAACACTATTACCGTATATACTTAAATACAAAATTTAATATGAATGTTAACTACATACATATTATGTGCCTAAAAAATATTTAGATAAACAATGTGCTTAAAATTAGAATTTAATCTTTATGTTTACAGTTGCCATAAAATTACAAAATTAAATATTCAACAATGTGACTGAAATTACAACATTTAGTATTCAAATAAACAATGTGTTTAAAATTGCATATTAATTTAATATTCAAATAATCAATGTGGCTAAAATTATATAATTTAATATTCAAATAAACAATGTGCCTAAAATTAAAAAATTCAATATTCAAATAAACAATGCCTAAAATTACATAATTTAATATTCAAATAAACAATGTGTCGAAAATTACAAAATTTGATATGCAAATAAAAAAAAAGTGCCTAAAACTACATTCAAATTAACAATGTGCCTAAAATTAAAAAAATCAATATTCAAATAAAAAATATGCTGGAAATTACAAAATCTAATATTCAAAAACAAGAGCTGTCGGTAGGACAGCAACGCTCGACTATTCTTAGTGCTTGATAGTAAAAAAAATGCTTGATACAGTTACCTCCTCCTGTTTACAGGTTGGGGTCATGATGGTGAACAAGTGTGCAAAGTTTCAAAGCCATATGTCAATGGACTTTGAAAATATTTGAACTATTACAAAAACTTTAACGTAAATTCTAAGTCGAAAAAGGGGCATAATTCTGTCAAAATGCTTGATAGAGTTACCTCCTCCTGTTTACAGGTTTGGGTCATGATGTTGAACAAGTGTGCAAAGTTTCAAAGCCATATGTCAATGGACTTTGAAAATATTTGAACTATTACAAAAAGTTTATCGTAAATTCTAAGTCGAAAAAGGGGCATAATTCTGTCAAAATGCTTGATAGAGTTACCTCCTCCTGTTTACAGGTTGGGGTCATGATGTTGAACAAGTGTGCAAAGTTTCAAAGCCATATGTCAATGGACTTTGAAAATATTTGAACTATTACAAAAAGTTTATCGTAAATTCTAAGTCGAAAAAGGGGCATAATTCTGTCAAAATGCTTGATAGAGTTACCTCCTCCTGTCTACAGGTTGGGGTCATGATGTTGAACAAGTGTGCAAAGTTTCAAAGCCATATGTTAATGGACTTTGAAAATATTTGAACTATTACAAAAACTTTAACGTAAATTCTAAGTCGAAAAAGGGGCATAATTCTGTCAAAATGCTTGATAGAGTTACCTCCTCCTGTCTACAGTTGGGGTCATGATGGTGAACAAGTGTGCAAAGTTTCAAAGCCATATGTCAATGGACTTTGAAAATATTTGAACTATTACAAAAACTTTAACGTAAATTCTAAGTCGAAAAAGGGGCATAATTCTGTCAAAATGCTTGATACAGTTACCTCCTCCTGCTTACAAGTTGGGGTCATGAGGGTGAGCAAGTGTGCCAAGTTTTAAAGCCATATGTAAATGGACTTTGAAACTATTTGAGGGATTACAAAAATTTTACGAAAATTCTAAGTAAAAAAGGTGCATAATTCTGTCAAAATGCTTGATACAGTTATCACCTCCTGTAAACATGTTGGGGTCATGATGGTGAACAGGTGTGCAAAGTTTCAAAGCCATAAGTCAATGGACTTCGAAAATATTTGAGGTATTACAAAAACTTAACGTAAATTATAAGTCGAAAAACTGGCATTATTCTGTCAAAATGCATAACAAAAACTTTCACGAAAATTCTAAGTCAAAAAAGGAGCATAATTCTGTCAAAATGCTTGATAAAGTTACCTCCTCCTGTCTACAGGTTGGGGTCATGATGGTTAACAAGTGTGCAAAATTTCAAAGCCATATGTCAATGGACTTTGAAAATATTTGAACTATTACAAAAACTTTAACGTAAATTCTAAGTCGAAAAAGGGGCATAATTCTGTCAAAATGCTTGATAGAGTTACCTCCTCCTGTCTACAGGTTGGGGTCATGATGGTGAATATGTGTGCAAAGTTTCAAAGCCATATGTCTATGGACTTTGAAAATATTTGAACTATTACAAAAACTTTAACATAAGTGGTTACGCCGACGCCGACGCCGACGCTCGGGTGACTGCAATAGCTCTACTTATTCTTATCGAATAGTCGAGCTAAAAACAATGTGACTGAAATTACATAATTTAATATTTATATAAACAATGTGCCTAAAGTAACACAATTTAATAGTTATATAAATGACATGATTTGACAGGATGATCATCTTTATTTCATCTACATAAGACCAGTCCACTTTGTAATTTACATATCACGTTAGCTGGGAACGGCCTGATAGAGGTGAAGGACAAAACTTATCCCATGACTATCTCTTAGCGGTTCAATAATAAAAAAATTAACACTGAAACTTGCCTATAATTATTACCTTTAAGTAATGAAGTTGAAGAAATCCTTTTTCAGGATTCATTCCATTGCTCACGTACGCTGCTCTTTTGTTATCACATTCTTCCTTTCTGAAAACAAACCAAACATTCTTGGTATATGGATTATTTCCAATATCTTATCCTTACTAATAGCAAGTTTTCTTATATGAGAATTATATAAACTGGAGAGAGCTTATAAATAAGCATTCCATGTTTAAATGTTATTCAGGGTATCCCAAAGATTTCAATAAAAACATTATTTAATTATGCGGCAGATAAAGAGGCATAATTTTGTTAAAATTAAAAATAACAGAGTTATTTTACATGCCTACAAGTGAATATGGACATTTTAACCAAGTATTCTAGGTCTCATAGCAATATCTCAGTTGCTTGGCTCAGAAGATTCAGTGAAAAAAAGAAATGGTACAAAAACCTTTACTAAATTATGGCTTTCCAAAGTTGCATAACAGAGACATATACTCTTGATACAAATAGTTTAAATAGTCAAAGTTGATTGATTCCTTGAAGTCTTTATAATCTATGTGACTGGTTTGGAGTCAATTTTAGCGACCATAATTTAAACATTCGGTGATGCTACATGGCAAATATCTATGCTCTTGGTACTGCGGTTTTTGAGAAGAAGAAATTTAAGACATGTTTACTTAATAAGTCTATATTACCTAAGTGACAACCAGAGTTGGGCCACTTTTGACCCCAGGGGCATGACTTATGTAATATGTAGACATCAGAAAAGCAAAGATACCTGCCAAATATCATGGCATTTTTTTTTTCACACATTAAGACTCAAATGTGTTTTCCTTTACAGACAGTCACCCAAGGGGCCGGGCAAATTTTGAAACAGAGGGCATTATTAATATAACTCTTGTACAGGACCACAAAGTTATGCTAGATGCCAAATGTCTAACATTTCAAAAGATTTCATTTTCAGTCTTATTTTTAGCTCTTGTGGCCTATTTATGCATCAGACTGGAACTATTTATATAACTTTTGTAGACAGTCATCTAAGGATCATTGCTGTGACATTTGGCCATCATATTAAAGTTCACTTTAAGCAATTTGTGCTCAGCTGAGCTATAACGTGAAGGGTTAGAATGAACAAATCAATAATCAAATTTTGCAGAAAATCGTCATTTTTAGTTTTATTATGACTTGTTAAGACAAGATGTCTTTCAAAGTAAAATTTTCTTAACGAACAACAAGACTGCCAATCCATAAAGCTTCCTTTGAGAAAGTTTTGCTCAGGTGAGCTAAACAAGAGGGCCATGATGGCCCTGAAGTCGCTCACCTGTACATAGGCCCCCGGAGCAGGGCCAGTTTAAAGCCCGGGGCTTTTATTTGAACAAACTTTGAAGACAACCATTAGAAGATGTTTCATGCTAAACATCTAAGGTCTAGCTCGTTGGGATTTTTAAAAGAAGATTTTTTAAAGTTTTTTCTTTACACATATAGTTAAAAACAATGACACACCTGGGGCAGGGCCAGTTTTGACCCCAGGCCTTTTATTTGAACAATCTTTGTAGACACTTACTAGAAGATGTTTCATGCTAAATATCTTAGCTCTAGCTATTGGAGTTTTTTAAAAGAAGATTTTTAAGTTTTTGCTATATGTATATAGGGAAAATCAATGACCCCCTGGGGCGGGGCCAATTTTGACCCCAGGGCTTTTATTTGAACAAACTTGGTAGACATCTATTAGAAGATGTTTCATGCTAAATATCTTAGCTCTAGCTCTTTTGGTTCTTTAAAAGAAGATTTTTTAAGTTTTTACTATATGCATATAGGGAAAATCAATGACCCCCTGGGGTGGGGCCAATTTTGACCCAAGGGCTTTTATTTGAACAAACTTGGTAGACACTCACCAGAAGATGTTTCATGCCAAAAATCTAAGCTCTAGCTCTTTGGGTTTTTTAGAAGAAGATATTTTAAGTTTTTTCTTTTGGTTGCCATGGCAACCAGAGTTCTGCATGGAATTAAATTCTTTGAACAATTTTCAATGGTGACCACCAAAGGAACATTCCTGTGAAGTTTGGATGAAATTGGCTTAGTGGTTTATGAGGAGATGTCATTTAAAGTAAAAGTTTACGGACGACGGACGGACGCCGGACGCCGGACGAAAAGCGATCACAAAAGCTCACCCTGTCACTTTGTGACAGGTGAGCTAAAAAGGATAAGAATAAAACAAGGTTTGACAATTCCTACAATGTCAAAGTATGTATGAGTAGGGCATCTCTCCATATGTATAAATGTAATACTAACTATATTACCATAGTCTACCTAGATATTATATTTTCGAATCTTAAAACTTACCCAAATAAAAACAAGAGGGCCATGATGGCCCTGAGGTCGCTCACCTGTATATAGGTCGCCCCAACCCCCCCCCCCCCCCCCCCCCCAAAACATTGCAGGGCCAATTTAACTAAAGGCTTTTATTTGCACAAACTTGGTAGACACCCATAAGAAAATGTTTCATGCTAAACATCTAAGCTCTAGCTCATTGGGCTATTTAAAAGAAGACTTTTTTAAAGTTTTTACTATACACATATAGTTAAAAACAATGACACGCCTGGGGCCGGGCCAGTTATGACCCCAGGGTTTTTATTTGAACAAACTTTGTAGACACTTACTAGAATATGTTTCATGCTTAATATCTAAACTCTAGCTATTTGGGTTTTTTCAAAGAAGATTTTAAGTTTTTGCTATACACATATAAGGAAAATCAATGACCCCGGGGCAGGGCCAATTTTGACCCCAGGTCTTTTATTTGAACAAACTTTGTAGACACTCACTAAAAGATGTTTCATGCTTAATATCTTAACTCTAGCTATTTGGGTTTTTTCAAAAAAGATTTTTTAAGTTTTTGCTATACACATATAAGGAAAATCTATGACCCCCGGGGCGGGGCCAATTTTGACCCCAGGGCTTTTATTTGAACAAACTTGGTAGACACCTATTAGAACATGTTTGATGCTAAATATCTTAACCATAGCTCTTTGAGTTCTTTAAAAGAAGATTTTTAAGTTTTTACTATATGCATATATAGGGAAAAATCAATGAGCCCCCCGGGCGGGGTCAATTTTGACCCCAGGGCTTTTATTTGAACAAACTTGGTAGACACTTATTAGAACATGTTTCATGCTAAATATCTTAGCTCTAACTCTTTTGGTTCTTTAAAAGAAGATTTTTTAAGTTTTTACTATATGCATATAGGGAAAATCAATGACCCCCTGGGGCGGGGCCAATTTTGACCCCAGGGCTTTTCTTTGAACAAACTTGATAGACACCTATTAGAACATGTTTGATGCTCAATATCTTAGCCATAGCTCTTTGAGTTCTTTAAAAGAAGATTTTTTAAGTTTTTCACTATATGCATATAGGGAAAATCAATGACCCCCCGGGGCGGGGCCAATTTTGACCCCAGGGCTTTTATTTGAACAAACTTGGTAGACACTCACTAGAAGATGTTTCATGCCAAATATCTAAGCTCTAGCTCTTATGGTTTTTTAAAAGAAGATATTTAAAGTTTTTTCTTTCGGTTGCCATGGCAACCAGAGTTCTGCATGGAATTAAATTCTTTGAACAATTTTTAAAGGTGACCACCAAAGGAACATTCCTGTGAAGCTTGGATGAAATTGGCCTTGTGGTTTATGAGAAGATGTCATTTAAAGTAAAAGTTTACGGACGACGGACGACGGACGGACGACGGACGGACGACGGACGCCGGACGAAAAGCGATCACAAAAGCTCACCTTGTCACTTTGTGACAGGTGAGCTAAAAAATCTATATAAATAAATATATAAACAAGAGGGCCATGATGGCCCTGAGGTCGCTCACCTGTATATAGGCCCCCCCCAACCCCCCCCCCCCCCCCCCAACGTTGCAGGGCCAATTTAACCCAAGGGCTTTTATTTGCACAAACTTGGTAGACACCCATAAGAAGATGTTTCATGCTAAACATCTAAGCTCTAGCTCATTGGGCTTTTTAAAAGAAGATTTTTTTAAAGTTTTTACTATACACATATAGTTAATAAATGACACCCCTGGGGCCGGGCCAGGGCTTTTATTTGAACAAACTTTGTAGACACTTACTAGAAGATGTTTCATGCTTAATATCTAGACTCTATCTATTTGGGTTTTTTCAAAGAAGATTTTAAGTTTTTGCGATACACATATAAGGAAAATCAATGACCCCCGGGGTGGGGCCAATTTTGACCCCAGGTCTTTTATTTGAACAAACTTTGAAGACACTCACTAAAAGATGTTTCATGCTTAATATCTTAACTCTAGTTATTTGGGTTTTTTCAAAGAAGATTTTAAGTTTTTGCTATACACATATAAGGAAAATCAATGACCTCTGGGGCGGTGCCAATTTTGACCCCACGGCTTTTATTTGAACAAACTTGGTAGACACCTATTAGAACATGTTTGATGCTAAATATCTTAGCCATAGCTCTTTGAGTTCTTTAAAAGAAGTTTTTTTAAGTTTTTACTATATGCATATAGGGAAAATCAATGACCCCCCGGGGGCGGGGCCAATTTTGACCCCAGGGCTTTTATTTGAACAAACTTGGTAGACACTTATTAGAACATGTTTCATGCTAAATATCTTAGCTCTAACTGTTTTGGTTCTTTAAAAGAAGATTTTTTAAGTTTTTACTATATGCATATAGGGAAAATCAATGACCCCCTGGGGCGGGGCCAATTTTGATCCCAGGGCTTTTATTTGAACAAACTTGGTAGACACCTATTAGAACATGTTTGATGCTCAATATCTTAGCCATAGCTCTTTGAGTTCTTTAAAAGAAGATTTTTTAAGTTTTTACTATATGCATATAGGGAAAATCAATGACCCCCGGGGCGGGGCCAATTTTGACCCCAGGGCTTTTATTTGAACAAACTTGGTAGACACCCATTAGAACATATTTCATGCTAAATATCTTAGCTCTATCTCTTTGGGTTCTTTAAAAGAAGATTTTTTAAGTTTTTACTATATGCATATAGGGAAAATCAATGACCCCCCGGGGCGGGGCCAATTTTGACCCCAGGGCTTTTATTTGAACAAACTTGGTAGACACTCACTAGAAGATGTTTCATGCCAAATATGTAAGCTCTAGCTCTTATGGTTTTTTTAAAAGAAGATATTTAAAGTTTTTTCTTTCCATGGCAACCAGAATTCTGCATGGAATTAAATTCTTTGAACAATTTTTAAAGGTGACCACCAAAGGAACATACCTGTGAAGTTTGGATGAAATTGGCTTTGTGGTTTATGAGGAGATGTCATTTAAAGTAAAAGTTTACGGACGGACGATGGACGGACGACGCCGGACGGACGGACGACGGACGGACGACGGACGAAAAGCGATCACAAAAGCTCACCCTGTCACTTTGTGACAGGTGAGCTAAAAAGAAAAGAAAAAGAAACAGAAACATTTCCATAAACATATCAATGAAGCAAGTCTTTAACTGTACTGTACTCTTTACTATTACATTTAGTTCAGTACCTTAGCATCTGTAAATCTTTATCTGTTGATTGTAACTCTGCTTGTAATGTTCTGTATTTAAGATAATCAGTAATCTCCCTTTCTTCTTTCAATTCTTCCTCACTTAACTGTGATAAAAACAGAAAATTGTATAAACTAAACAATCTTAAATTAGAAGGAACAGCAGTATTACTAAAATACTTCAATAATAGATTGCTTACATGATACTCTAAAATCATGAGGGAAGATTGTAATTATTTACTTTCAATAAGATATTTTGTTTCATGTTGATCTAATGCAAAAAGGCTCAAAGCCTAATAAAACAAGACAAGACATTAAACCAACATTCCATAACCTAGCTTCCTCAAATGAAAGAATCTAAAATCCCTGGTTGGATTCAAATCTATAGCAGTGAGGGGCAACTTGTTTGAAATCAACAATCTTAACCACTCGTTCATAGTCACCTCAATCACAAATTCAATATGTGAAATAAAGGATCTGGTTCAGTCAATCATGAACCAAAGCATGAAGATTAAAGACAACATCTGACTTCAGAATATCGATATGTAATAACTGGAATCATGAACAATAAATCTAAAACATTATTTTTTTATCTTATACCTGTGTTGTTGGTCCATGTATCATAAATTCAGTATATGTAGCAAATCCTTCACTCAGCCATTCTTCATGCCAATCACATGGTCCAATAGCAAGACCAAACCATGAATGACTCAGCTCATGTGATACACGAATCAGCATGTGACCATCTTGTGAAAGCACTGACTGTGACAGAAACATTAAACTTGGACTGAAATAAAATCAAAAGTTATTACCCTCCAATAGTATAACTATCAATTTCATAATAATGGTCATCTGCCTATCACAGGTGTCCTTTCTATAGAGTAAACAGTCATCAGCAGAATTTTAATGACCAATTTTGTAAACAGACTTATCCAGACCTGTTTACCCCATTAATGCCCTGTCAGTAGTCGGAAAGTGGTTTATCAGTAGTTTTAGACACTTGTCAGTAGTTTTTAGGCCCCAAATTTATAACCACACTTGGTCACTAATTAAAGTCAAAAATGACAACAGGAAACAGTTAGACGGTAGCTGATTTCTTGCGTTTTACCGGCGATTCCTCGCCTGCCGGGCCGCTCAATTATCGGAAAGTGCTCAATTAATAGAAAGAGTACAAATTTCTGTAGAATTTTTGTTATTAATTCGTAGTGCGTAGTTTATGCGGCGAATCCGTAGGAAATATGGACAATCCATAGTGGTAAACACGTTATCTAAAAGTAAGCAATTGTTTTGAATATATAGTAAAACTGATTATATTATAATTACAAATGATGTTTTAATAGTAAAACTGATTACATTATAATTACAAATGATGATTTAGTTAAATGATTATTGATACTGCAACTGCTTTATTCATCTCCTTAATATATTTATTACCAGTTTGCCAATGGTGATCTAGGTATTTGTATAAAAACTATATACATATAGACTGCTGCCTATAGTTTAAAATTAGTTTTTGAATTTTGAAAAATAATGACTCCAAATAATTTTATGAAAGAAACAGCTTTGAATATTTCTTTTAGATCAAAATAATAGTGTACACACAAAATCACTGCTAAATGATTAAAAACCCTAAGGCTACTTAAAATAGCAAGATAGTATTTTGTTCCAGAACATTTTATTCTGTTTACATAAAATATTCATATGAGTTAAATAAGCAAGACACTCAATGTTACAATATATTCTTTTAAGAATTAACCATTTTTTTTATAAATGAAACAAAATAATTTTTAGTATTTCATAAGATATAGCTTTATACCCTTTAAATACATCTTTTCATCTCTCACTGAGGTATATATTATTTCACTTTACACCTTATGTCTATATTGCAAATAATTATGTATGTTTAACTAGCTGTCTATCTATAAAACCAGTTGTCACAAGATTTGATTAAAAAAGGATTTAATGACATTTCTCATAAAATATATCAGCAAAATTGATATATAATGATACCTTTAATAGGTGAAAATATATTTATATAATTATTCTTTTATAGTTCAAAGAATACTTAAAGGAGAAATGCTAAACAAATAAAAATAAAATAGAAAGTCAAAGATATGCAAAAGATAATAAAGAAATATACTCTGAAATGAATTAAAAATTATATTTTTGCAATATTCTTAACCAAATTAGAGTGAAAAGTGTTGCAGCACATTTCCATTTAGGGTTATTTTTGACAATTAAAATATTTATTCTGGAAAAACTAAGTGAGCAAATCATCTAAACTTTTGCACACATACAAGGTATTGGTCTAGACCTACATCAAATCTCATTACTCTTGAAAAATTATTTCCAGTCCCATCATGTCAAAAAAAACTCAGTGAAGTCCCTTTAATATAATTCTCCAGTGAAGTCCCTTTAATATAATTCTGTAACAAAAGACAGCTCAATAATTTTATCTATCCTCTACCACCTGTCTACCTCTTCAAGAAAGCAGTGTTAAACTGCATGTAGTAAGATAAAAATTATATTTCTTTTTTTCTTTTTCTCTGTGAAAACCAAAATATTTATTTCTAACCATGGTTTTGAAAACAGTTTTCAAATAACAAAATACAGAAATAATCAAACATTCCTCTGTCTCTCTTTGTTTACCTTGCCATTCCAAGACTAGCAAAGCTTGCAGGTACAATCAGTATATCTAGACGCTTGAATGGATGAGGACCGAGAAGGGAAACAGCCGATTCCATACATCTTGGCACGTAAGGACAAAGAATAGAGCTAGCAGTTTCTTTGTGACATTTTGGAGTGAACAAACGACAGGGTAACTGTCCCTTTGGAATTGATGTCCTGCAATTAAATTTCAATGTCATCACTCATATGATAATTAACAATCTTTCAGTAGGATATAATTTCAATCAGTTTTCTACAATTGTATGTCTCGATCTGCCATGTAAATAAAGAGATATCAATGTAATTAAAATTTCAATATGATCATGACAAGAATTTCATTCTAATGGACAATTTTTCTTAACAAGGGTGGTGAATAAAGTAAGCATGTAAGTTATTCCCTAATTAATGAAGCATCATACTGTTGGTGTTTAACTACGGAGTTTTCATACCCTTCAATAAAGCCATAAGTTACATGTATGTTTTTTGATGGTCCTGAAATATCTCATCTCATTTTTACTGGGAATAAATCAATAAGAATTGATATATTCATGATTACAGGTAATAACTAGGATATTTTGATAAGACAACATAGTCATTTTGTTAAATTGGAAAAAATTATCGTAAATATTTACGAATGAAAGTAGAAACGAATACGATTAAACCTGTGAAAATGGGGGCCTTATGTGGGAGTATAAAAATGTCACTGTAAACATCGTTTAAAATTGCTGGCAAAAACAAAAACTTATGGCACATTAAGTATACAGTAATACTATATATTGACTAATAAACAATAGTGATCAGTGATCATATGTGTTGCTTAATGATAGCCAATAGCATGTTGTAGTTACTGTGTAGCAGGAGGCACAAAAATCATTGGCAGGCCAAAACGTATTTTTACTCAAGGGCCTTAACTCAGCCAAAAATCATTCAACTGGAAAACCCATTAATTAGGCACAATGTAGTTGAAGTATCAAATCATGTACTACAGTTTTACTCAAATTGCATTAGAACTATAAGACATCTAGTCTGGACAAAACTTTAAAAAAAATAAAAATCATTGAGGGGCCATAACTCTGACAAATCATTGAATCAGAAAATGCCAGTACTATTCACAACTAAACTTGGTACTGCACCAGTTGTTCAGACAAGTTTTGTGACGGATGGATGGACAGACAGACAGACGAGAGAGAAGTGATCCCCTTACGTCACGCTACAGAAACCACATTGAATCTCAGGTAAGTAAAATGGTTTTCATTTATCCCAAAATATGAATTATGCAATAAGTACATGTTACTTAGATATGATAATATGATTCAAATTTATGCAATGATACACTTATCTTCCTATACTTTATACAATGCTACAAAATCCTGATGTGTCTGTTGAAGAAGTTTCTAGAGTTACAAAATCTCCATTAGTTATATTACATTATTTTATATTTTTAATCTCTGTAAAATAGTTTTTAACCCATGTTGACACTGATGAATTAAAACAAATTTACTATTGATAATTTTGATACATTCCTAAGTTGAAATTTAATTCAGATACCTTGAGGTAATCTCCACTTCTTCCCAGTATCCTACAGCTAATGCTAGAGTGGAGCTGGGAACCTCCAGGTCTGTGTGGTAGATGTATGTTGTCATATCTATATAGAAAACAAGAAAATAACTGAGTAATCTTCTCCCTCAAATATACATAATGTACAGAATATAACAATAGAATTCAACATACATGTAATATAGACTTCAAAACAGATAAAATGAAACAGAAATTTCAGTGTTCACATAATATAAAGACTTCTTTCACATAATGCCAACTTCCTATTACTTTCATTTTCACATCTTGCTTACTAACTTTTTTCTCTCACATACCTTCTTCACATAATGCAACTTCGATCTCACTTATTACAAGTAATGCTCACTTCTTTCACATTATGCTTAATTCCCATTTCTTTTCCTACAATTCTTATAACTTATTTCTTTTCAAATAATTAATTAATTAATAATAATTAATTTTCATATTACTTCTTTGAGTTTCACATAATGCTTCATCTTTCTTCTTTCATATAATTCTTACTTCTTACTAAACATAATGCATATTTCTTTTTATGCTTCTTACTTCCTTATCATTATTTTAGCTTCATATCCTTTTCACATAATTATGCTACATGACTGTAACACTGACTACGTATTGTTATTATATAATGCTTACTTCTTTCTTAAGTCATTTTTTTTTTAATTTGTAATTTTATTAGCCCCGTCATAGGTACAAAGGGGTCCGGGACATATGCTACTTATCGTTTAACAAAATGCTTACTTTGTTTTGTTCACATATGGAACATACATTTTTTTTTAATAATGTTTACTACCCTCTTCTTTTAGCAACTTCCAAGCACACTAGACAGTTTACAATTTTCTTTCTAGGTCAGTGACCAACAATTAATTATCTGATGTTTGTAAATTCAATATACATGTAATATCTTATGTAGTTAAAAAGATAAAACTTGGATGGTAAAAACATAAAGAGGAATTTTCCATGATGGTAAATAAGAATAATTTAGTAAAGATAAATGCCAGTTATAGGTTCTGGTTGGTGACCAACAATCATAATCCCAAAGGCCACAGTGTTTGTGGCCATAGAACTTGAATGCAAATATTCACCAGGAATTAATTAATCTGATCTCACTAAATTCTGTGAAAATCAATGCTGAAATTAAGTCTTAAAGGGACTTCACTGATTTTTTTTGACACGACTGGACAGAGTGTACCATTTTATGTAGTTCTGAGACAATAATTTGTGTGCACATTTTCAGATCATTCCCTCTCCCTGTTTTTTTCTCAGAATCATCATTTCTTGTTGTGTAAAATGACAAAATAAATGACACTAAAATCAGGCTAAGAATCACATAAAGAAATCATTCAATTTAGTTGTCAACAATTTTTCTATTATCCTTTGTAGATTTTTCCATAATAAGTGCTTCACTTGATCTATGCAAGAATTTCAAATTTTGTGTTTTAGGCTTTTATTATTTTAGGCTTTTTGAAGTGAAGCTCTTTTAAATAGTGACCAACAGTTATTACGAAGCCTGAAGACTGGTTTAAAATTTCAGTGGTAAATGTGACATGAAGCTGCATCTGTTAAATAATCATCATACCAGGGTGAGTAGCATATCCCCACTATTCTCATTATATAGTCAAGCTAAGTTACAGTTTGTCCTACCTGTCCCTGATGATGAATCTATGATCTCAGGATTTGTATCTCCACTCATCAATACAGTCATACCCTCTGGGACATTTATGTACGCTTGCCATGTAGATAGGGCTCCAGGCACATCCTGACTGGGAAACAGTGATCTATTGTTGATCCAATGTCCATGAGTGTAAACACACGGCCTAAAATAAATATGAGAAAAAAAAACATATTTAACTCCAATCTAATGCATTTAAAATAATAAAATAGAAAATATCAATAACTTCTAAATGGAGAATTATTCAAAGTATTTGTGTTTGAAATGATTCAATATTTCAAGTTGACAACTTAAAAAAATTGAAATACTGAAATAAAGATCACCTTCCATCCTGATCATTGGTCCATTTTAAAGATGGACCACACTGCTGAGTTTGATAAGAGATTCTTATACATCTAGGAAATAGAGCTGAAGTCGTTATCCCAGGTTTCCAAATCTTAAGGAAGGTTTTTTCAGAGCAAAACTCCAAAGGATTGGCATCAAAGTCTTGTATAAAATCATTTAGTCTTGTATTATTTGCCTTGTTGTCTAGGTCAAATCCATTTTTCAAATTGATCTCCTGCACTGAAGTCACTATTAAATCCCAAGCATCTAAAACCAGAACGAAATCTTGAGAAGTTTTAGTCATATCATTGTCAATAACTTTATCACATTGGTCTAAAATACTAGTGGAAGCATCTATATGGTTTGCAATGGACTTGAATATGTATGATCACAGTTTAAAGAGTCGGTTTCTTGGATAATATTTGCAGATATATTGCACCTATCTTTAATACTGCTATGTTTCAACACGGAATCACAACTAAGTCTGATTGTATTATTAGGGTTTTGCTCTTTAGTCTCTTCATTTTGACTTTCTATATTAATTTCATGAATATTGTATTCTGTCACTCTATGTTCACAACCACAGTAACCATTTTGCTTTATTTCCACCTTATCCTCCTTTACTTGATTTACAACACTGTAATCACAAAATTTAGAGCATTTTGTTTCTGTGCATGTAGCATAATGTTCACAATTAGAAGGTGTGTGATGATATAATTTCTGGCTCTTATCCCTGTTAATTATCTTGTTTTCAGTTATATTGTTTTGTGGTAAATTAGCATTTGACCTTACTTCATTTTTACTCTCAGAATGTGAACAAATTGAAAAATCCCTAGAGGAAAGCACAAGAAGAACACTGCCTTTGAACTGTTTGTTGGCCAGATCACATGTAAGTTCAATGTTGCAATGAGCGACTCTAATGTCTTCAATGTTAGAATGTAATGGAAGATCAAGATCACTTTTGCCCTCTGTGTCAGCCATTTAACATCAGTCTGTCTCAATGTGACTTTACAGAGTTATCATCGCACACAAATCTGTAATATAGTTAAATAATAATACTACAATTCTATTTTCCACAGGTCACTAAATGACCATGAGACATAGAGAGTTCCCAATAATGTATAAAATTAAAATTGTGCATGAATCAGTGAAATAGATAAATATGCACATAAAAAAAAAATACCTACTGCATGCACTGCAAAAAAAATGACCAAAAAAAAAAAGAATTTTAAACTACAGATAATCTGCTTGAAGAACATTTTTATAACATTTAAACCATTTCCGTATCGGTATGTATTTTTCCACCTTTCAACTACCTTTGTTTAAAAAAATTAAAGCAAGCAAAAATTATGCAACAAAGTAATATTTCAATTGATGATCAGTAACCTTTAGATAGAGGTCATACAAGTTCATGCAAGCTTGGCATGGAAAATTATTGATTGAAAATGAAAATGATGTTACCTGTACGAAATTTTGGCACGGATTCTGGGCGTAAATGGCACGGAATTGGGATGGAATCATTGCTTTCTGGGCGGACTAAGCACGGAAAAGCAAATTCCGTGTCAGTCCGCCCCACACGGAAAACATTTCTGGGCGTAAAACAAGAACCATTCCGGGCGGAATTTTATTACGGGCGGAATTTTGTACCTTGGATGGAATTTCAAACTTAACTTTTTCTTGAGATAGAATGGGGCGGAATTCAGAACTTTGATTTTTCTGTCCGGCGTAATTTCAATCTTAGTCATTTGAGGTGGAATTATTTTACACTTAGAATTTTTTGTTTGGAAGTTTTCACTGAATACTTCATTAAATCAGTACACAAGAATGGAAATTCAACAATTAAAAGATAATTGGTGAAATAATCGAAGTGTTATTTATATCTGTTATTTAAACAGATTTTGTCAAACATTATTAATTTTCAAAAGAGCTAAAATCTAATGCTAAATTTTATTTAATTTTCTATATCACATAACTTATTTTGAGTACTATATACATTACTAAAGATACTGAAGTAAAATGTAAATTGTATGCTATTTAATTAAATTATTACATATCTAAATGCATGAGTAATTCTTCCCTGCAGTGTGTATCTATAGATTTTTAATTTCTTGGTAGCATGAAAGCAATTAATAGTTAAATAATTTAAGAATGATATTTTAAACTTTAATTTATGTTTTAAATGCCATATAAAATAGTACATAATCTACTAGCAAGTTTGTTTGGAAATTTGTAGACATACATTTAGATTATTTACACTTTACTCTGCCACTTATGTACAATAAACACATATATATTAATTATTGCCATTAAGTTTATGATTGTGTACAATAAACACATATATAATCATTATTGCCCATTATATACATGCACAATTAATGTGTTAAATATAATAACCACTGTGTGCTTGATAATTTCTTATAAGTCAGGATAAATAAATACTACAGACACTAAGGTTAAGATCAGATAAGACTAATGATAAACACTTGTGTTTCCCTCTATCTGATGCATGACTAATCTCCTGATGGGGCACTCTGGTATACTGACCAGACTGTTCCATGTGATTATTAAGGTAGTCTGAGCAGTATACATTTCAAAACAATCAGTTAAGAAGGTAATTGACACTTTGATTCTCTTTCAAAAACTTATTATGATTTTCAAATTCTACATTTACTTATCATTTGATATGTTTTTACACTCAATAAATGTAAAAATAAGATGGTGGGACTGTTTTGATATTTTTGGATAATCCCTGTTTCACATAATGATGGACCTGTCCGTCCAGTTAAACTGTTGAACAATTTGAAATCTCAGATATATGGGTCAGCTGCTTATTGAATGCCTACACAAAGGATCTTGCAAAATTTTGGAGATTACATCTTGTTTTTGAATGTTGTGTACATATTTTGGAATTTTCAAAGAAAACATTTATCTAAATGTGACAAGATTGTGGAATTGTTTGGTTAATTGTTGTAAATGAACTAAGAGTGAACTGAGGAAGGAAGATTATACAAAAGAATCATAGTAAAAAGTTTCAGGTAAACAACTTTTAGATACATTTATGCAAAAAATGGTTATTATAAACAAATCAAAATATATTGTGGCAGTAAGCAACAAGAGCTGTCCGTAAGACAGCGCGCTCGACTTTTTTAGTGCTTGCCTATAATACAAAACATTGACAGTTAAGGGCCATAATTCAAATAAAATCTTTGACAGAATTACCTTCTCCTGGACATGTTTGGGAATCATGATTGTAAACAAGTATTCCAACTTTCAAATTAATATCTCAAACAGTTCAGTCAAAAAGTGGACTGGTACTAAAAACTTAACCAAGATTCTAAGTCGATAAAAGGCCTTAATTTTTAAAACAAATCCTTGACAGAGTTACCTTCTCTTGCGTACAGATGGGGGTAATGATGTGAAATAGCATTAAAAGTTTCAAAGCAATATCTCAAAGGGTTAAGGCAATAAGTGGATTTTACCCATATTCAATGTATTTTCTAAGTCAAAAAGGGGCATAATTCTGTCAAAAACCTTGACAGAGTTATGTCCTCTTGTCTGTTGATGAAGGTCGTGATGGTAAACAAGTATGGTCAGTTTCAAAGCAATACCTCCAATGGTTTTGAAATAAAGTGAGGTGGTACAAAAAACTTAACCAACCTCAATACACTTTCTAAGTCAAAAAAGGGCCATAATTCTGTCAAAAACCTTGACAGAGTTATGTACTCTTGTCTGTAGATGGAGGTTATGATGGTGAACAAGTATGGTAAGTTTCAAAGCCATACTTGTAATACTTCTGAAATAAAGTGGGGTGGTACGAAAAACTTAACCAAGGTGTGACGCCAACGCCGACGCCGACGCCGACGCCGGGGCGAGTAGGATAGCTCCCCTTTTCATAGAAAAGTCGAGCTAAAAATTGTTTCTATAAAATAAGGTTAATAACCATAAAGTAATGTTGATAAAATTATTATTCAAACTACATTTACATGCTGTGAATAATTATCTGATTATTAAATCTAGATGTACATGCATGTATTACCAAATTTATTTGTTTAAAGGTCATGGTCCATAGACTAGCCTCTGTCAGCTTATGTTTTACAGTGCTAAATTTCTATAAGATCTCACATGTTATATTATACATACAATTTAAATTATGAGAATATATAATTGCAGACTGGGCCTTTGCAGACTGTGAAAATTTGCCAACTTAGTGTTTATAGTATCAGCAATATTTCACTACCTTGGAGTCTGAAAAGGTAATTACATGTATTTTTAAATATCTGAACAAACCATTTTTAGAGTACAATTGTTTCCCAGATAATGTAAAGATTATCAATTTTGACATCAAAAGTGTAATATAATGGGCAATTTTTACATCATTTGCTTACTGTGAAATGATGTTGCTATAGTATTTTTGAAACTGCATTTGCTTGAGTACAGTGTTTTAACACTCCAGATGAAATATTATAATGATACACAATTGTATTTTACCATAGAACAGAATTTGTTTCCATTCTTTTTAAATCAATTGTAATTTTTGTCCTTAAAGGTGAACGCAACTACAAGACGTGCCACTAGGAAACACTTGCACAGGACAGTAGCTGACATAATGAGGAAAAATTGTGGTTTTGATAATCAGTTTGAAAGAAAGTTTTGGTTTGTGACAGACAACATAATAGTTGAAATCAAGGTCACTGATCAAAGAAAGCAGCAGTACCTACAAAAGTCATGTACAGAATCTTGCACTTTAAAAAAGCTGTTTCAGTGACACTTCAAGTGAATGTAGGGATGTATTCTGTATGTAGACAAAAAGGATATCTTTTATTTGTGAAGAAAAACAAACTGTGATAATTTTCATATCTTAACTAATTGGATTATTGAAATACAATTAGATGTGATTATGTGATTTTAAGAGAATAATCATATAAACATACATGTATGTTTACTCATAAGCTTATAGAGAAGTTTACTTCATGAATATTGAATTAATTATTACATATAAACTATAATTTTAGATGCATATTTTTAATTAAGATAGTTTAAATACAATTGTTTAACCAGTTATTTAATTATCAATGGTCCAAAGTACATGACAAAATGGTCATCCTAAATTAAATTAAATTATAATAAAAAAACAACTGTTTATGGAATTTTGCTCTGATTATTCCGTGCCAAAATTCCGTGCTCAGATTCCGTGCCTTGAATACACCCAGAATCTGTGCCAGTTTTCCGCACGGACATTTTTCCGGCTCATTTACATATTTCGTACCAAATTCCGTGCCATTTCCGCCCAGAATCCGTGCCAGGAATTCCGTGCCAAGAGTTCCGTGCCTAAAATTCCGTTCAAAACTCCGCACGGAATTTTTCCTGCTCATTTACATATTTCGTGCCAAATTCCGTGCCATTTCCGCCCAGAATCCGCCCGTAAAATGAACCCTTATCATATACTGAAAATTTTAAAGGAATTTTAAATTTCTGGGCGTAATCCGTGCCAAATTTCCGCCCCAATTCCGGGCGTAACATTTCGTACAGGTAATTTCCTCATCAGAATATTGGACAGGCCCTGTTTGTACAAGACCTTTTCCATCTCAGCAATTAATGTCTTTGATCTCACAACAGATATGTCTCTGCTGCTAAAAGGGCAATTTTTATTGGTGTTACATGGATATCATGGAGGGAATATTTTTAAATCATCATTTTTAAATTGTATCCCCAAAATTTGGAATATGTATCCACTTTTAAAAAGGCTACTCTAATGGGCACCCTGACATCACCCAGATAAATATAGTGTTGGTGTATATTTCCTGTTCATTTGTTAGTGTTTGACACTGTACTTCTACTTTGTTCAAACCTCTTGAAAATCCTATAAATGTGTGCTTTGTAATAGTTCTTTCTTTAATAAGAAAATTAAACTGTCACATCTGAAACTAAAAATCCTTTTTAATCAAATTCCTTTCTACCAAATAAGAAGCAGTTATATCTGATTGATCGCGAAAATTTAAATGAGTAATCCCAACAGAAAAAAAAAAACATTTTAATTTTGAACTCATTTTCTGCATATAAATACAAATCATCAAATGTGAAGTTTGTTCACCACAGACTGTAATTGTATATAAAGTTCGTGCTCACACATGATATGCAATGGTAAACCGTTTTCTTTAAAATTGAGTTATGTAATGTTAAAAAATAATAATAGATCTAATAACAAGTGGTGAATTTGTCCATGCATCTGAACAAATCTAACTATTGTTAGAAATGGAAAGTTGATCTGTTGATTAACCTGGGAAATAGCACGCAATCAAATCTTCAAGCAATTTTCCATTTGTTTTAGACGTGCTGTATCTCAATCCTGCAAATAAATCAATTGACAGATAGATAGTGTTTACCTACTCTACGTTATTTAAAATGGCGTAACAAATAAAAAGGGGAGTAACTTTTACAGTCATGTATTTATTCATCTGCCTTGCAAGTAACGATATTCTGATAAACTCGAACTTTTTTATACAAATTTATCACACATAAATGAATAAATAAAATAATAACTTGATCTTATGTTATGCCTATTTGATGTCTACGTCTCACATTTTTTATGTACACTTTACCAATTTTGTACCCTTGAAATAACCAAATCATGCATACATTTGATACTTGCATTAATTGGTGCATGTGCATAAATTTATTCATTTAAAGATCCTGTGGACAGGTTGTTACAACACTTAAGTGAAATTTTATATATTTATAGTTATAAAACAATTTTCAAACATTGAAGAATATGTAAAATATTTGTGCACATTATAGATCTATGTAATCATTAAAATATATGCATTCATTTCTTATTGAAAAATTTGACTTAAACTTTATAGAAAATAAATTTCTAATTGCCTCCCTTTATTTACATGAAATGTAAAATTCGGTAATATCTTTATAAATAATGCTTTTTGGAACCACGGATTTATATTATGTAATATAAATCCGTGTTGGAACTTACAATATGGATTAATCTTAATTTGAGCGTCATACTTATGATATAAAACCATAAGAAATTGTGTTACAGGATCTTTAATTATGTTGGATGACTGGTAAATAAGAATTATGTACATGTAAGTGGTGGGTGTACAGGTTAAAGTCAAAATAGTTTAACGTTTAGCAATACTTGTTTTCAATATTATAATCTACAAATACTTTCAAATGAACACATGCATAATTAATGATATACGTGAAACGGAGAATTCTATACAATGTAGTTATATAAATATTCTTCAAAATGAATTGGAAAAACTTGGACAGTCTTTCTGTATTTAATTAAGGCAGTTTTTAATTTTTGCCCTAAACATGAGCATGATGGCACTTTTACATGTTTCTTGAAAAAAATCAACTGTGATTGCTGTGTTGCTGTTGATGGCCGGCTGTACGGTGTTCCGTTAGGGCCAGCGCATTCTCCCTGAGAAAAAAAAACGCGAAGCGCGACAATACGATGGTGACATTACGACAGTACGATAGTGAAGCGCGACAGTACGACGCGATGATGAAGCTCGACAGAACGATGGTGACACTACGACAGTACGATGGTACGTGAAGCATGACAGTACGATGGTGACAGTCCTATAGCACCATATTTTATGGGTAAAATTAAATAATTGACTATATTTTATGTTCACTGATGTAAAATGAAAGATATGTCAAGTTAACGATAACAACGTATACATTTAGTGGGGTTAAATTGCTTTATTGACTAAAAAGTCGCCATTGGGACAACTTGATTATTGACCGCGCTGTTTAATAAAATGTTTACATATTGAATACATTCATATTATTAAAAAGAATATATTGGGAACTCGGCATATTGGATAGTTAGAGAATGATTTTTACTTCTAGCTGCTAACTCATTTTTTAAAAATATAATTTTAAGAATGTTTGTGATCCTTTCTTTAAAAATGCCATACTATGTTGGAATAAGGACACGTTAACACACTCATAGTTTTGTAATAATATATTAGTCACATGACCACACCTCTCATCTAGGAAGTTTGAATATTTAACATAAATAAATCAATAATCTTTAAAAAGATTTGGCTGTTATCATATTTTCCAAAATTTAATATGGTAGTTTCATCCGAATAATACTTTAAGAAGATAACTCAAACAATTTTATTAAAATTATCTTCTTTTAAGGTCTAGGCTGTAGTTACCACTTTACAGTTCAGCTTATTGCATAGATATTTTTCTGAACGTACTTTTGCAGCGACAACACCATTCAAGGAATGGTACTAAAGTTGATACCTTTTTGCCTCACTTGAAATCCATTATCCATTTGTTCATTGGTTAGACTGACTGTCAAGTGCATTCAATGAGGATATAATCTATATTAACTATATCACAGTATATAAACAACAAAATCACTGTGCCCTGTCTTATGAGCTTATATAATTCAATATGTACCCTGTCTTGCGAATAAAAGCACATATTACCTCCGATCTCTGTACGGTACCCTACTTGGGGGCCTATATATTTTAACTTGTACCTAACTTGCCATAACAGGAAGTAGATTTGTTTATATACTGTGTGTATTATACACTTTATGGCATTATTTGAGTGATATTGATATGTTCGTCTACTGTAAAGTTATTGTGTAATCTATACCTAAAAATACAAATTTTGATTTGAATTACATGTATCACGCTATTTAATCTAAATATACATCATATTTGCTATTACTAATGCTTTTCACACCAACTACGGTATATTGTGGTAGAATTAACCCTTTTTATAAACAAAGATCCCATTTGAATGAATGTTTCTAATCAAAAGGAATCACCTATGTATAATTTGAACCAACTTGATGATATAAACAAGAATATCTTGGTGTTATACTTTAGAGAAACTGTGCAAATGCTCTTTGTAATGGAGAATATATCACGTTAACCAGATTTTTAATGCTAATCGTATATTGAAAAATATCGAGGAAATCTGTTAACATTCGAATGTTCATTTTTCGGCTTAAAGAACACATTTTGCACACATTAGAAATGTGAGAGGGGTGTGATTACATTATTTGAGTCTTTTTAATATGTGTTACAAACAAACATACATAAAACATTATAAAATTAATAAAAGATACATATAACCATTTTTCAGTAGAACTATAGCAGACTTGATTTTGCATAGTGTTAATAATTTAACGCATACATATAACAAAAATAAATTACATCTGAAAAGAAAGATGAATAAATAAAAACGACTTATCTTAAAATATATAATTTATAAGTACCTTCAAGTTCAATGTTATACAAATGTAGTAACGTATATCCATGACTAAATTTATTGTGGGTGTTAAAAGTGGGTGCATATCCTGTCTAATATTATGTTAGTCTGTGAATAACTGATGAGTTAAGGTTTGTGATCATTTTCTAGTAAGAAACTGACATACTTTATCATTGCTACTTTGAAATGTTAGAGTAACAAACAGGCGATACTGTCGGCAAAACCCCAGTTTAGGGATAGTAATAGGTATAAAAAAGTGTTCACACATCACGATCAAAGCCCCGCTGAGCGCAAAGCTAGTATGAATTTTGCAACCATTTTAGGTGCCCTTAACTCTGACAGTCTATACATGAGGGGCTCAAGAGTTGTGGCTAGGAAGAACGATCACAGCAATAAATATAGCTACTCCACTGGGTCTCGTGTTACAGAGACTGATGCACAGCCGTCGTGAATACAACTACCTTGCCAACCAACGGGACGATCGATGTACTGATCGTCGCGATGACCGCCGTTCTGGTGAGGGAAAACGCGGTGAAGTTCCATTAAAGAGTCAGTGGAATGTAGTTGGCAACCGAGGTACCGCGAGGGGGTCTCTTAACCATGGCCAATCCTGTAGTAACAGCCGTTGGCGTAGGTAGATTCATGCCGGGTTTTGGAATGTTAGAAGGTGGAAAACCGACAAGAATTCTGTATCGGTATCTGTTTTGACAGTTCTAATGAAGGCATTTTACTTCTTAAATTGTGTCATAAATCAGATAATATATTTGTTTGCTACCTTCCACCGGAAAACTCTTCTAGATTATTTGATGTACATATTTTTTTATGCTTTTTTACTCTCTATAGTCTACCAGTATAAAGATTGTGGAACTATGTATGTTTGCGGGGATTTTAATAGCAGATGCGGGGAAACTGATGATTTTTTTAGAGGAATTGATAATGTAATTGACCGTGAAGTAATTGATTTTAGTCTTAATAATTATCGTGACCTTTTAATAGATTTCTTAATTAATGTAAATCTGTGTATGTTTAATGGTCGTGGCAATGAACACAGCGATTTTACCTCTATTTCCTCTAAAGGTAGATCTTGAGTGGATTATTGTTTTGTTAGTCATGATGATTTTCATAAATTTGAGAAATACAATATTTAAAGAGTGATAGATCTTATTAATAAAACTAAACTTGTATCTTTCATAGCATCTAGTGCTCTTTCAGATCATTCCTTTCTTATGTGGGATATTATACTTGATAATAAATGTATTCAACATGCATATTGTGAAAGTAAACTACAGGATAAACGTTATTATAAATATGATTTTACTAATGTTCCAGCTGGTTTTATGATTAATCAAGACACTTTATATGATAAATAACGAATTGTGAAAAACACTGAAAAGTTTTAACAATAAGCACAATTTAGTTATATGTAATAATATATTTGTAATAATGAGTCCTATTTGAATAAGATATATTATTTTATAAGTACAAGTTATGATACTCTTAATTGCATGCACTGTATCAAAACACTAATAAAGATGCTGTTATTTTTATCACAGTGAAATGGTTATGCATCAGGTACTATATATTGTTTTTTAATAAAAGAAGTAATGTTTTTTGTTCCTTTCGTTTTCGAACTAAATGTGACAAATGTGAAAAATAGCAGGACTTTTTTGTCATGTACACTATACCAATTTTGTACCCTTGTTTATTTACTTGAAATAACCAAATTATCTATACTTTTGATACTTGCATTGGTGATTATTATATTTGGATGGCTTACTAGCACACAAACTTAACAAGACCCGAAGGATGGTTTATATATTTTATTTTATGTGATGCATCCAAATATACACTCACAAACACTCAAACATCAAGTAAACATATATACAGTAACAATAACGATATTTGATATTAAAGGTGTGGCTTAATCTATTTTATAGACTTGCCTACTACAGTGATGCATGTAGCTTGACTTTTATTCATATCATTATGTTTTATCCACATGGGTCTAAGACCTTCTGGATGAATGATAAATAAAACACATGTAAAAACATTATGTAAGTGGTTGATGTACAGGTTAAAGTCAAAATATTTTTACGTTTAGCCATACTTGTTTTCAATGTTATAATCTGCTA